ACACAATTAAAAGGTAGAAATGGATAGAATAAATTAATTTTACAAGGATAACACGTTTACTTGAGCCGTATCGTTTCAACTGCAGGCAGCACATGAATGAGAATACCAGAGACGGACAGGATAGGATGAGCAAGCGGCCAGGCCTTCATTACTCTTAAATCGATGTGGAAACCTACAGTACTCAAATATCACCTGTAAAAACATCCTAATGTTAAGTCAGTCAGTATTTCTGTGTATAGTTCAGAGACAACTTCTATACTGCAGACTCTCTTCAGAATAACTATTCGCTCAACACCGGAGATCAGATTGCCAAAAAGGATGCACAATGAAAGAGCTCTGCCGATGAACTCACCAAGAGCCTATCCACCTGATAAATACGCAGATGGAATTGGAGATGAATAGACTGGACACACATTGAGGAGACTATTAAGTGAAATCATCAACCTCCAGACCTTCGAATATTATAACTTGAATGGGAAGCAACAAATTAAGCATAAGTCAGAGGATGAAATGAAGGGGATCGTGTGGAGAGGAGATGAAAGTTTGTGGACAGTCAGTTCACAACGACAAAGAACTGGTTGATGTGGAGCGATGTGTCACTATAGCTCTATATATTCCACTTGGAATTCAAAAAAGTGAACAATGATAATAATTGGCAATAAGAAAACGTAATTTATCTGAATCGTGTACTGTTGTATTTACGCAACACAATTCGAACAATCTGATCACACACACACACGGACTTGTCATAGGAATCGTATATGAAATTAATAAAGAGTTAAGAGGTGAGAAAATAGACTACTTAGGTCAATTTAAAAGGCCGCCATATTGAAGGCCAAAATAACAATGAAGATCAATCAATAAACCAAATTAGAGAGGTAATGGTACATCTGCTATGGTATCAAAACAAAATTTACCAAGTTCATCAGAACACCAAAACTCACTTTCCAAATGGCCACTAAGAAAAACGTGTACACCCTAAAAGGAGCAGCATAGCAGTTTGACAACTAGACAAAGATTGAACGCTGCTGTAGTTAAAAAGACTTTTTATGCAGCTAATATCATAATAATTGAGATTGTGAAGCCAATATATCCATCCATCTAAGCCCTTTGAACATGCGAAGAGTGATGTCACATCCCAGTGTATTTAGTATTATGAATGTGCGTGTGGACACATACATGGGAGGGAGGATTCATCGATCTCTGCAAGTGAGAGCTGGCTTCAGAGCATATTCCTAAATGGCTCAAGAATCAAATAGAATCTTCAGAACCCATTAATGGTGAGAACAGGAGACCTAGGTCTTCTATTGCGAAACATATTATAGAGACAGAACATAAAATTGACGTTAACAGATCTTTTAAACATATCTATAAAATGTGTTTGGGCGTGTCCTAAAGTTTTTGGAAGCCCTAGCTATCAATTAGGAAGTTTAAAACACCTTTACGCGTTCAAAGCAACAATTCGTCATCACACTGAACCACCTTCCTTAGTAAACTTTGTTTTGATACCATAGCAGATGTACTATTACCTCTGCTATTTGGTTTACTGGTCTTCATTGTTATTTTGACCTTGAATATGTCATTTTAACTTGACCTAAGTCAAGTTTATTTTCTCACCTCTGAACTCCTTATTAACTATATATATATATATATATATATATATATAAACATTCTTATATCAAGTACGTGTGTGATCAAATTGTTCGAATTGTGTTGCGCAAATACAACAGTACACGATTCAGACAAATTACGTCTTCTTATTGATTTGTCTAACTATAAATTCATAAAGCGAACACTAATTGTTTTAGAAAATAATTGGCACAAGTTGGAATTCATAGGTTAACCATTAGGTCGGCTACTACCAGTGCCTGAATAGTCAACATGCTCGCTTTGTAATCAGAAGGTCCCGGGGGTTCGAACCCCTGTGGTGGTTGCGTACTACTACTAGAGAATCCCAAAGATACAGGACAAAACAGATGTTCACTACTGCCTGATTGGTTTTCCAATTGTTCCCTAACTGATATTATCAACTAGTGATAGAACCTGTAGCCAATCAGCCAATCCCAGCAAACCAAAACTTGGTAGTCAAAAATTGATGCTCACAGGAAGTTAGTTACCTGGAGTTCTAGTGAGACCGCCTAACCAGTGGGGTGGTCTTCCATCAAGTTTGGCAAGAAGACAGTTATTCGCCCATGACACTGGTTGACTTAATCGTCTACGAGCTAGCCTTGTAACTGGACGGTCCCGGGGGTTCGAACCCCTGTGGTGAGTGTGTGCTACTGATGAGTCCTGGACTTGGACGAAACAGTTGTCCAGTACTTCCGGTTTGGTTTTCCAATAGTTCTTCTAATAGATATTGTCAACTTAAAATCAAACCTGTGCTATTATAATGTTAAAGGTGAACTGAAAACTCAATAATATATGGCAAATCGATCAACATTCTTTTTCGTGCTATCGAACAGCTGAAAATCAAATCACACATTTGTGCAGCAAATCAGTGCAAATGTTAGGTGTGATGATAAACTCAATATGAATTATAAATTTTACTTGTGTGAATTATATTGAAATTATTTTTCTTATCACATATACATATATATTGACGAAAAGAGGCGTGTAGAAGGTGAGAAATTACAAAGCAACGGGGGCGGGGGGTGAGGAACGGCGGAGTGTTCACATTGTCTTTTACTCTCTCTCATTCAATCATAATTTTGCATTGCAGTTTATATTGAAGAGATAATTTTTTTTCCAAATAAATCTTTGAAAACATTTTTGAAAAAAAAACTTTCATATTTGTTAAAGTATTTTTTGTGTGGATTCTCATTCAACGTCATATAGATATACGATCAGGTGTTTATTTCTCCTCCTGAATGGAACTTCTGGCCTATTTTTTTTGGTTGCATGGAAGATTTCGTCATGAGCTAGCTGACATCAGTAAGAGAACCACTGGAAAATCTGAGAGTACTGGACAGCTGTTTCGTCAGCCTAGTTTGGGACTCTTCATCAGTACCCACCCACCGGGGTTCGAACCCACGACCTTCTGGTTACAAGGTGAGCTAAATCGTAGAACATTGAGCCACTGGGACCCAATCCAATGGTCCATGAATTTTAACTTCTGCCAATTCACGACATAGCGCGACAATTTTCGCAATGTCTTCTTCGATGAGTTACTGCCTCATCTTCAACCTGCTGTATACCCCGCTGGTCATGGCTTCCCACTAGAACTCCAGGTTAACTGCTTGAATAGGGCCAGTCACTAGTGAGCATCAGATTAATTTTCAAGTATTGGTTTTGTAGGGATTTTGTTTGATTGCATGGAGGATTTCGTCATGAGCTGACATCAGTCGTTTTTTTCTCCATTACTCTCCAAGGGGAATATGGGAGAAAAAATTTGGAAGAGGTCACTTGCTTCACTTATCTGGCCAGGAAGGATCGTTTCAATCACAGACAACAGGGATGGATGAGGATGTCAGTTGCCAACTTCGCTGGCTGGCTCCATAGTGAAAATCAAATGGCCGGCAGGCTGGTTGGCTAGCCAGGAAGAAAGAGCAACAAGAAACTCTGCAGTGGAAAAAAACCAACAGGCGACACCCTATTGATCGACAAATATATAGCAGAAAATGGAGATGGATTGGGAACACGCCACTGAGGAGACCGCTGAGTGACGACGCGCGCTAACCAGGCCATAACTCGAGTGGCACTCAAACAGGAAACAAGGAGTTGGGCATGGGTGGTCCAAGGGTGACATGTAGAAGATCGTGTAGAGAGAAGGAGATGAGAGACCCTGGACAATCATAGCACCAGGTAAAGAGAACTGCAGAGAATAGGACAGAAGGGAAGACGTGCTGTTGAAGCCGTATTTTCCCCCACTTGGAACCCAAAGGAACAATCTTTGAGCTGCAATCTTCGTATGTTTGGCATGCGATTAGCCCCTGTAAAATGTAAGATGATGTTGCAGGATTGGACTACACTGACCCCTAGATTAGAAATAGGAAGTGAAGTGGTAGAGCACGTTGACCGCTTCACTTACTTGGGAAGTACCGTCAGACCCAACGGGTTGGTCTCTGACGAAATCTCAGTACGAATACAGAGGGCTAATTTCGCATATGCCAGTTTACGCCGTCTCTGCCGTAGACGTGTTATCCGGCTGGCTATCGACCAAAGAGCGGATGTACTGTTCATCAGTCCGCTCCGTCCTCCTTTATGGCTGGCTGTGAGACCTGGCCATTGACAGTGGAAGACATGAAAAGGCTGACTAGCTAGTTGTCTTTGATCATAGATGCCTGCGTTCTATCTCTCGTGTGAAGTGGTATAATCGGGTGAGCCATATTGTGGTTAGTCGTCGACTGCTAGGTAAGGAGGGAGGGGAAATCAATAGAAGAAGTTGTGAAGTTACATCGATCGAGCTGGTTCTGACATGTGTTACGCATGACTAGCCAGCACCTTCCCCGACAATGGGGGCAATGTTAGATGACATAGAGTCAGGTTGGAAAAGAACCAGTGATGGTTAAACCAAAGCATGGTCTCCCCAGTCAGTGAAATCCACAACAGTTAATTTAAGACAGCCACGTAGGAAGGTGTAGACTTCCTGGTTGAGGTCCTCGGGACAGTAAAAACCAATGGTTGGAAACAATTGATGATATGGCTCAAAATCGTTCTCAATGGCTGGTCGGTGCAGATGCATCCACTCCTTGTGACTTATAATTACCAATGAAACTATATTGTTCTTCGTTATTACTATTTCTTGGTCTCACAGCTCTGATTACTGTCTCTAATATGCATTTCTTCTACTTTCTTCTCTTCCTTTGTGTGCTACAAGGAGTGTAGTGTGGCGACTTGAACTGCCGCACATTGGCGCAAAGTTCTATGTCGAATACAGACAGACGGACAGACAAGGGAACAATAATAAATAGTAATAATAATTAACAACAAAATAACCACGATGACAATACGAAAGGGCAAAGTGAATCGCGAATACAAAACAAAACAAAAAAGGAACTCACTTTCCACTTCTTGTAATGCTACTCTAAATAGAGTACTTTTATTTTCCATTGGAGGAGATACATATTTCATGCATAATTTCATTGTTGGATTTGTTGAATCGAATAAATATCCACCGAGAGCTAATTCTTTCGTCTTATTAAACTAGGGGATTATGAAAGAAAAATAAATAAATAAATATTGAATAAACAAAAACAACAACAGGATGATACTCACTGGAGTTAATCAATACTATGAACAACAGAAGGAATTGATTTAAGGATTTTATCATGAGCTGAGATTGGTTAGAGAGCCATTGGAAAACCAGCCAGAGCGTAATGGACAGCTGTTTCGTCCCGATACATCCTTGAGACTCTTCAACAGGACCTTCCGGTTACAAGGCGAGTGATCTCGTAGACCATTACTCAACCACTGGGACTCGATCTAACGGTTAGCCCATGAATTCCAACTTCTACCTATTCCCGATATAGCGCTACCACTAGCTAATATAGCCCCCCCCCACCCTGGCGAGTATTCGTCCTCACACCTGACCTGCTGTATACCACTAGAGCCAGGGGAAGTGGGAATAAAACTGAGTTTCAAAAGAGGCCTAGCCTGTGATATCCTTAAGAGAAGAATATCAGCAGTTTTGAAAAGAAAATTCTTCACAGCAACGCTAAGAGTAGTGTTTCCCAATCATGCATTGGTCTGCAGGTGTATTAAGGACAAGAAGTGGCATTTGACCAGTTCTGTGTAGTATGTATATCAGTACAATTGTTCTGTGGTGCTAACCAGGTACATTTGTCGCGCATTCGACGCGCATCCTGTCCAAAAGAATTCGAGAACGCCTTGCCTGCATAGCTGTAAGATGGTAATAGCGGCTCCATAAGGAGTGAGTATTAGAATAATATTCAAAGTGTTGCTTTGCAGGGATTTAAATGGTTTCAGGATTTCCTCATTAGATGACATCTGCCAGGAGGTACTGAACAGTTTTTTCGTCCTACTTTGGGACTCTTCATCAGTACTTACCCACCATTAGGATTCGAGTCCAGGTTCCTCTGGTTACAAGGCGAGCTCTTAGACCTTTAAGCTACAATTAATTTGAAAATTAATGGAATTCTCAACAAGTTGACTGGACTCTAATAGATGAAGTTGATTGATGTTCTCATGAGGTACAAACACTTCCCGATGACATATCCTGTGGTGGTGAAACTACATATATGTATATATCGCAAACTGGTAGACGTTAGAACTTACAGATCATTGGATTCCGTCTCAGTGTGCTTTAGCAGTTAACGGACAAGCCTTTCTTGCTCACTTTCTTCATACAATTTCCTATTGAAAGAAATAGATGCTATGCGGCACAGCGCTTATTTTTCTTATATTAAGTCGGCAATAAGTGGCAACTATAGCTTGAGGTCTATTGATAATACATGGCTGCTCAAACTTCCGTAAGTTTTGCAATGCATAAAATCCGTGACCCAGCCCTAGAATCCTTTAACCAACGACCTGCACAAAATTCACCATTCTACCTTCAATTAACCCAACAGCTTATCACATCTTGGTGTTTCTACTGCTTCCTCTCAAATTCCATCTCAATCACTTTTTTTCTTCTTGTTAGATGGTTCGAGGCAGTCGGATAGAGACTTAGTGGCACTCACCAGTAGGGCGTGTCTACAACCTTCAAAGAGTTGCTGCACCCCATACTACTCACAGTGCTGCAGTTTGAGCCGTTACCACTAAGCCACTCAGGCTGACAAGTGACCTCTCATAGGATTATAATAAACACATTGATTGGTCTTTAGGGTGTAAATGACATCATGCATCTAGTCCTCGATGTCGGTATCGATTAAATCCTATCAACACTGAGTAGTGATGCAGGTTCGAATTTCTGAGGAAACATGAGTTCCTTAAAGGTTGTAGGTACGCCTTGCTAACGATTGCCAATAAGCAAGAAACCTAGGTCAAAGTAGGACTTCCCCCCGACTGCTTTCAACCGCCTAGAATGTATTCAGAGTGCACTGTACTAGTGAATCCCCGGGCTTGTTGGTGACTATATCACAAGCTTGACTGACCGAATACAGTCGGCACCAAACACCAAAGCCTGGATGCATGACATTGGTTAATTACTTCCTCCTAGTGCCCAATATATTTTTCCCTCTTCTTGTGTAGCCTGATTATGAAAATTGTGATATTTCTTAGTCTTTTTTAAGCAGTTATATCCGGTGAGGGAATTGAATCATAGGTGTGAATGCATAAAATAATAATATGAAATGCAATCTTTGTGATTATAATCTTAGTTAAATGTCAAGTGGCAAAGCAAATTAATGTCATATATAGAAAAATTCATAGGATGGATAGAACTTGAAAAAGGGTGTGCAATTATAAGATTAGTAGACAAATCGAATAAAATAAAAACGTTACGTAATATTGTGTGAAATTTGATAGCATAGAATTTAATATTGTAAAAAGGAACTGATTTAGAATGACAAGTGGAACAAGTGAAATAATATCGGGGACATCTGGTCGATCTCTATAGCCTCCGCCTTTAAAGTCACTACAAGGCAAAGAGCAATCCAACCAAATCCCTACGTACCCAACCCATCTGTATTGCTGAAGCTTTGGCTATCGAATCAGAAAAGCCAGATCTCTGTGTACAGAAAAAAGTCCGCTTAACTCCTCCAACTTTCATGGTCTTAATCCCTCTATGCTAAAGTATGGTAACTCCCAATCATATTTTGGCTCTACCAATTTTTCATTTTGTCTATTCAATTTGTAGTCTCTTCCTTATTATGTCAATTGTTACTATTAGTACCATTCTCACTTTGAACTGTCCCCAGTATTATTTCACTCGTTTCACTAGTCATTCTAAATCAATTCTTTTTTTTACAACATTAAATTCTATGCTATTAAATTTCACACAATATTACGTAACATTTTTATTTTATTCGATTTGTCTACTAATCTTATAATTGCACACTCTTTTTCAAGTTCTCTCCATCCTATGAATTATTCCATATATCACGGAATATACACATTGGGTCATAGGAGTTATTAAAAAGACAATTGCAGCGAAGAAAATTTTCTTTTCGACGAAGTCAGCTAGTGACTGGTTCTGTACAGGAAGAGGTACCAAGAGTTCTCTAGTGAGAAGTCGTGAGCAGTGGGATCCAACAACAGGTTAGGAGTGAAGAAAAATACTCGCCAGTGATGATGGTCACGCTAAAATCATGAACTGATGGAAGTCAGAATTCATGCACTGGCCATTGAGGAGTCTCAACAGTCGACGAGCTCGCCTTGCAACCAGAAGGTCTTAACTTCAAATCCCGATGTATGGGTGCATACTGCCGATGACTCCTCAGACTAGGCTGTCCAGAACTCCCTGCCTGGTTTTCCAGTGGTTCTTCTCAAACTGAGATATTAGTCCAATGACCAAGCTTGTGAGATAAAGTAAAGTAAAGTAAATTGAAAGCGAAAGTGTGGAGAAATTCTCACCTGGGTGATTGCATAACCAACGTGTTCATAAAATGCATCAATTGTATATACAGCATAAACACCAGTCGCTGGAGGATAATCCAAGGTTTCATACTGGGAATCCCATCGGTGTAAATATAAATGACAGAAAGCTGTATGCGATAATTCACCAAATGATACATGCGCGGCACGATTAAATCCAAAATGAATTAACTGTATAAAAGAGAGGAATATATACATATATATATGCATATACATACTAGACTATAAATTACAACGGTAGTTGCATAGACTAGACGAACAATTGACAAGAAGAGATGATGGAACTGTGAAAAGATCTGGCTATCTATTTATCTATCTAACCACAAACCACAGAAAACCTTTATGGAATGGGTCAACATCACCAGCGTCCAACAATCGTTATAGTTATAAGTATTGGTTTTCGTTTTTTGTTGGGATTGTGTTTGATTGGTTGGAGGGTTTCATCATGAGCTGACACATTGGTTACAGAGAACACACATGGGAGTACTGGATGGACAGCTGTTTTGTCCCAGTTTGGGACACTTCATCAGTACGCAACCACCATACGGAGGGTGGGTTCAAACCCAGGACATTCAGGTTACAAGGTGAGCTCATAGATCATTAATTAAGTCACCGGTGGGTGCGTACTGATGAAGAGTCCCAAACTAGAATGAAACAACTGTCTAGAACACCCAAGCTTTCAATGGTTCTCTAATTTATATCAATCCATAATCAAACTTCAAATAAATTAAATCCCTACAAATTTTAATTTTTTGACAACACTTGACATACTTTGTAGTGATGTTGTAACAACAGAAGGCAAGACACGGAAGCCAATGTATATTTTTCATTAATCGAACCGCTATATACATTATATTCTGTTGCCAATGCAGCACTGAACTGTGGGAATATGTGACAATAATATTCCTTTGGAACACATTGTCTGTATCACACCACCACATTCGTCCTGCCACCCACCCCACGTCAAATACTTTCGACTGAAGTCGGTCCGATCTTTTTGATGCTGGCGGCTTTGTTAGCTTGCCTCGCTGTATCCAGTTTCGGAGCTCATTGACGTTAACCCGCTCCTTTATGTTTGCATTTCTGATCGTATATATATACGTGACCCCATCTCACGGTGACCGTGTATGGTCCTTCCCATATTGGAAGCAGTTTGCATGACCTTGGAGCGTACTCGCCAGTATTTCGCCTCACACTATCATATGCTGCCGTCGTCCGACCTCCCAGCAGCGTTCCAAGTAACAGCCTCTTCGCTGACGGATCTTGAACGCCACTCAACTTCGCAACAGCCTCGAAGTCCTGCAAGAAGATCAGTATGTCTCCTTCTTCGAAAACTGCAGGTCAAAGGGTTTTCATTTGTCGGGAGGCAGACAGCGACAGCGAAAGTGACAGCAGAAGACAAGACACTGAAGCCAAGGCATATTTTTCATCAGTCAAACCTCTGTTTATATATATATATATATTGGTTGGGTAACTTCTAGTGCCACTCAGTAGACTTTTCGTAAATGGCTGATTAGTCGCAGACCACCATTAACTTAGTGCGTACCTTTCATGTACGAAATTAGGAGCCATACACATACACGTGCGGCCTGTTAATACTACCTAAATAGTCAGGCTGAAGTCTACCGAGTAGGACTAAAATCCACAACACACTGATTGAAAGTCGAATGCCAACCCGCTGAATCTCTCTACAAATCACTGATTAACTACAGGTTTAATCACAAGCAGCCATCAGTGAAGATTCACAGGCCATTGAATCGGCTCCCAATGGCTGAATGGTTTACAACCTCGTCTTTTAACCAGAAGGTCCTGGGATTCGAACCCCGATGGGTGCGTGCGTGCGTACTATTGCTGAAGAATCTTGAACTGGGACGAAACAGCTCTCCAGTAATCCCTGCTTGTTTTCCAGTAGTTCTGTAACTGATATCACCTCATGATCAAAACGTGTAAAAACACTAGACTGTGTTTATGATAGTAACAAAAGAAAGAAACAAAACAGCAGTAAAGGCTTACCTGAATTGTGACTAACAACACCTTAAGTATCTGGATAAATAATTTAAACGGAATACGTCTTTTCGCATGAAATTTACCAATCGGTGTCATAAAATGATAGTAGAGTCGTCGACGCATCCAATCTTCCACTTCAGTTGCATTAATGCATGTAGATGATGTTGGCGTTGTACTACCATCGCCTACTGAAGCGCCTTTAGGATAAACATTATTATTACTATTATTATTAGTGTATTGACGATTAGAGATAAGCGGTCGTTCTTCACACGAAGAATCACTTTGTTGTAAACAGTCTTCACTTGTAGCAATAGTTGTCGACTGATGCAGTTTACGATCTGATGATTTATGATCAAAACACTTGATCATACGAAAAATTGCCTTTTCTACAATACTTTGTGATCCGTGTTTAGCTGCACTACTGTTACTACTATTATTGTTATTAGTAGTATTAGTAGTGTCATTATTATGGGAATGACAATTCACATGAGATGATATATATGATGCGGGTAAATGTAAACAGGTCGGAGGAGGTGTTGATGGCGATGGCGGTGCATGATGAGGGGAATGTATTCTCCGGATGACATTATTATTATTATTGTCGTCACAATGCTGACAACATTGACTCCAATCAGGTTGTAGATGATAATTTCTATGGTGTGTTGTACATGAACTGCCTTGATGGTTAACACTGTCAGTAGTTTTATCTCGTTTATAACGTTTAGACATAATAGATGTGTTTGTTTTGTTTTGTTCTGTTTTTAACGAAAACGGACAAATTTAATTCATCCAGAATACACCTAAAGAGAGGAGGAGGGTGGGAATATAGGGGATAAATATACAAGTAATTAATTATTCGTAGGACACATTAATCAAATCGATAAAGTAGTTACCCTGAAAAGTTCATCACTAAAATACATGACCAAGAAAAGAACGCTTCTGTATCTACTAACAAGAAGCCTCGATATATATACATATATGTGGTGCGTCGATGGCACAGCGATAGAATGCTCGCCAAACCACACCCCCATGTGGTTCGGGGTTCGATCCGCGGCCACCAACGCCCCCCCTTACCTCGTTAAGCTAGTGATAAGACTGGTAAAGAGGGACGGTTGTGCATCGGTGGCACAGTGGTTAGGACCCTCGCCGACCATGCACATGGTCCGGGTTTCGATCCCCTGCACGTACAATGAAGAAGAAAAGTTGTGTGAGTGAGTGATTTGATATGATTATGAGTGGCAATAGTTTGTGCTCGAAACGTGGTCGCATCAGTTAATATTATTATTGTATAACAACACTCCACTGTGTGATTTATCAAAATAAAATCTTATCCATAATGGAGTTCCACTAGAACGCGATCCAATGCATTCCAACATCTATCAGTTCGCAATACATATATATAGTGCAGCCACATTGGTTACAAAAGAACAAACAAACACGACTTTATTTCCCAAAAAATGACAATAATATTAGTAATAAACATTATTCACTGTACAATAAAAATATTTACATAAAGCAATAAGAAGACGTGGGGATAGTGTACTCTTGTATTTGCGCAACACATTTCGAACAAACTGATCACACACGGAATTGTCATAGGAATATATTATGAAATTAATAAAGAGGTAAGAGGTGAGAAAATAGATTTAGGTCAAAATAACAATGAAGACCACTAAACCAAATAGCAGAGGTAATAGTACATCTGCTATGGTATCAAACCAAAATTTACCAAGGAAGGTTTAATGTGATGACGAATTGTTGCTTTGTACGCATAAAGGTGGTTTAAACTTCCTCACCATTAATGGGTTCTGAAGATTCTTTTTGATTCTTGAGCCATTTAGGAATATGCTTTGAAGCAGAGATCGATGAGTCCTCTTTGTGTATGTGTGTCCACACGTACATTCAAATTGGTAAATATGGAGCGTCAAAGCAGCTTGATAACTAGACAAAGACTGAACGCTGCTTTCAAAAAGACTTTTTATGCAGCCAATATCATAATAATAGAGAATGTAAAGCCAATATATCTATCTAAGCCCTTCCAACATGCGAAAAATGACGTCACACCCCAATGTATTTACGAATTTGAATGTACGTGTGGACACGCATACATAGAAGGGAGGACTCATCGATCTCTGCAAGTAAGGGCTTCAGAAGCAAATGGAATCCCAGAACCTATTAATGGTGAGAACAAGAGATCTAGCTCCTCTATTGCGAAACATATTATAGACACAGGACAAAAATTCACGTTAACACATCTTTTAAACCTAACTATAAAACGTGTTAGGGGGAGGGCGTATCCTAACGTTCGTGGAAGCCCTAGCTAGCAATTAGGAAGTTGAAACCACCTTTACGCGTTCAAAGCAACAATTCGTCATCACACTAAATCACCTTCCTTGGTAAATTTTGTTTTGATACCATAGCAGATGTACTATTACCTCTGTTATTTGGTTTAGTGGTCTTCATTGTTACTTTGACCTTCAATGTATCCTTTTAACATAACCTAAATCTATTTTCTCAACTCTTACCTCTTTATTAATTTCACATACATTCCTATGACAATTCCGTGTGTGATCAGATTGTTCGAAATGTGTTGCGCAAATACAAGAGTACACGATTGAGACAAATTACGTCTTCTTATTGCTTTGTCTAAATTCATAAAGGGAACTAATTGTTTTTAAAATATTTACATTGACTTGATTACTGTGATATGGTACAAGTCAACAACAATTGTTGTCCATTTTACTTCTTAAAAAAAGGTATTAATACAAAACACACTTGTTTTTGCTACAAACCTTTTTTATAACACTGAGCAGAAGTTAACCATAAGCACTACCTATATACACATGGACAAGTTGAGTATATAAAATAATACATAAGACAACACAAGAGCACGGTTTTACACACCAGACTTAAACGGTCAATGTAAAATAAATGCCACAACTATTTACAAAAAATCACAAGAAATATGAATTTTTATTTTTGAAAAAAACAAACAAAAACAAAACAAAAGTATTTAAAACTTAAATATAAAACAATATATGTGATCATGTGACTTTTATCGATTGCTTTTCTGTCCCAAGCACGACAATGACGGTTTTTAGCAGCTGAGGTGTTCTTTTGTTTTTACGTAGGGGAGAGTTGCTCGCCTCATTTCTCCAAACCCTCTCTCTGTTTATCGGGCTTACCAGAGACTAAGCAAGGTTTAGGAGCACTTCAGTAGTCGGGAGTCGAACTCGGATCACTTGTGTGTAACGACGCGGTTGGTAATTATTCTATCAGTGAACCAACCACAACGTACTTCCTCATTACATGACTGTTAAGATATTCAAGAACTTTATTTGCAAATGTCTTTTGTTTGAATCACTAAGACAGTTTGCTAGTCAGAGTGCTTTTGATGATTTCATGTCGTCTGAACCTAGACAGGTCGATAATTCCAAGTAGAGCATAATACATACTTCAGGCCATTTCGAAGTTTCAGCAGCGATAGCGTCGCTATCCTCACACACCCGACCATTCCTCTTCTATCCATTAGTACACTTATCGAGTTCTAGGTGTGTGTCACAGCCGGGAATCGAAACCGAGCCACTTGTGGTGTGGTTGGCCATCATTCTACCTATTAGACCACTGACGCAGGATATTTACTAGTGAAATTTAGAAATATCTCTATCTTTCTCTATATTAGTGGATTCAAAACGGTATTTTTTTTTGGAGTAAAACAAAGTCTATCTACACTTAAACGTGATTAATAATCCTTAAATTCTAAAACAAACTAAAAAGAAAGGTAATTTAAAATCATATGACTCAAGAAAACGTAAATGTGTAGTACTTGAAACGATACAGACAACATAAAATTCCAACAATTAATTAATTGAAGTTATGTAACCATAATAGGCTTAAATGACGACTAATTAACAAGCCCAAAGTAATGTTAATAACCTTAAATTAAGATCAATAATGGTAAAAGATAAAGGAATTCTAGTTTTTAATTAAATTTTAGATTCCCCCCCCCGTCGATTGATTGAACCGAAGTACTCCGCCTAAGGTTGACATCATCACTCACTGGAGAATGCAGGTACATCCAGTTAGCTGACGAGTCCCAAATAGGACGAAATGCGCATCCTGGATTCCACTACTGCTAGTCACCATCCACCAATAAAATTCCAATCCTATTCTTGTTTGAAATCATTTACCAGACCATGAGCCGAATTTTATGTGCCCAGGCTATCCATAATTGTCCCGATTGGAGTAAGTCAGGACGGATTCGAACCCTGGGTGAAAAACGACTAATTATGCTGATAAACCACATCTCTACTACAGATAAGTTGCATATTCGTGTAAAAATGAAGATATATAGAGATTGGTGCATAATCAATGCAGAATCTCGCAAAATTTTGCCACAATTCAATTCGCTAGACCAAATCAATATTAATAGAAAAGAGCAACCATTATAAATTTTTTTAAATAATCCCAGAGCGTTTTTGAGAAATAAATAAAAACAAGATTTTTCTGAACGTTTCTCTGTGTAAGCCACAGCTTCTTCAGCAGAATTATTCGAATTTTATTAACCATCAAAATATAATTTAATTGAATTTGAGATTTTCCAGTCGATTGTTTGGACTGAAGTGCTCGGTCTCAAGTTGACATGTCGGCTTCTTGTGCAGATGCTTTGACGACATGTGGGTATATACTTGGTGGATGGTGACTAGCAGTGGAATCCAGGATGCGCATTTCATCGTATTTGGGACTCGTGGCCTAAGTGGTCTAGTGGATAACGCTTTGGCTGGTGTTTGAAATTAAAGGCACTGGATTCGAGCCTCGGTTCGGAACATCATCAATCACTGGGGAATGCAGGTACATCTGGATAGCTGACGAGCCCCAAATAGGACGAAATGCGCGTTACCCTGGATTCCACTGCTAGTCACCATCCACCAATTAAATTCTAATTACATCAAAATATATGGTCAAAAATTATATAAATTGTTCTTTTGAAGGTCACTTGTCGTTAGACACGTTACCAATAGAAAAATGTAAACAGTCATCATATATTTTATAATGATCAACGTCAAATTGTCACTGTTTATATTTGTCTGTATGAGTGTGTGTCAGTGTATGTTATTTGTCATATGGAAAGGACGTCAATTCACACGTGATAAACACGATAATATTTTTATAGAGGTCACAGAAGTTTATAGACGTTTTTCTCATCTGTCTTGCTTCATTAGAGTTTGCCATATAATTAATCAGTCACTCTCTCTCTCACATTTACTGGTCAAAATAGACAAGGCTTCAGAGGTTAACCTTTCGTTATGTGAATGAAAGCCTCTTCCTAGCATTCAAACATTTTGATTGGACACTAGTAACTAGTGTGATGTGTCTAGACTGAATTCTATCAGTCAGTCAGGTTTGCAATGTGGCCAACATTCTAGGTAGTTCACCATCACGGTGCACATTGATTTGATGATATTAGATGGTTGGAGGCAATCGACAGGAAGCCCAGTCTTGGACCTAAGTTTCGTGCTAGTGACTGGCACTCACCAGTCAGCAAGGCGTATCTGCAACTCATGTCCCTTCTGAGATTCAAACCCTCATCACCCAGTGCTGCTTCCTGCCGACTGCCTCCAACCATCTGATACCAACGATTCACAGTGCACCATGATGGCAAGCCACCTAACACGGTGGCCACATTGCAAGCTTGACTGCTAGAATTCAGTCTGCACCAAAGATAGGACTAGACACATTACACTAGTTAGTGACTAGTGTCCAATCAAAACAAAAATAATATCCAATACAGTCCTACAGG